CAGGTACAGCAGCTTCTCTAGGGAATAAAACTAGAATGGAATTTCAGGATCATCAGGAATGACCATCCAAATGTTATCCAAAGTCCCCTCAATCTATGTCCCTCCCCAAAGTATTTGAGAATTCAGGATACTCTGAATGACAATCCCCAAATTAAGGCTAGTGACCATTTTAGGGAAAGGATTAGACGCCTTAACACTTAAAAAAGGAAAGAAAAATAAAGAAAAACCGTAAGTTTTGGAGTTACAAATATCTATTTTCAGACATGAACTTAGGCAAAATATTTTAGCACTTTTAATTCAATTTTCTGAGCAGTAAACAGGATAATAATAGCAACACTGATGTCTTCATGTGCTAGTGTGTTGGAGGGTAAAAGAAATAACCAGGAATCGCCCAGCCCAGGGCCCCACCTGCAGGGACTTGAACTCCCCTCTCCCTTTTTTGGAGACACAAATCTACGGTCACCCTCCATAAGGACCCGGCAACAAATGATCCCATATAAATAGAGCCTGATCTGGTTTTGAAAAAACGAATACATGAAGAGTTTAAAAGCTCTGTTTGTAACAAAGGCCAGTGGCTTTTAACCTTTTGAGTCTGAACAGTCCTCATAAGGCTAAGGAGAAATGCCCTTGGTCATGGTCTCTATGTGAAAGAACACTACCCTCTTTATCAGTAAATGCCCTCTTAGAGTTGATGGTTTCGTACTGTTTTACAGCTTTTTCTTTCTCAGAATTCATTGAATTGGTTCCTTATGATTTCCATCAAATTAGAAGAAGGCAAATACATAAGCAGCCCACGATCCTTATTATTATTTGTCCCTTGGAATACCCCGTTTCCTCTGACGCTCAGGATGTCCTGCTGTCCTCTTAACTTCTCCCACATCTGTCCTCTCCCTCCATGGTCACGATGACAGCACATCACTCCTCCCTGGTTCTGATGAATTTGCCTCTTTAAACCTTCTTTGGGATGGGATTTTATATAAGACTTTAGGTTTTGGGGTTTGGTTTTTTTTTTCAGTATGTTAAGATGGGGTTTTTTTTTTGAGACCTAAACTCTAAGAATGGGGAAGACAACAAAACAGAGGGCAATTCCATTTGATGGAACTTTCTTGGCTGACGGAGAATCTGTGTATCTGCCGCCCCACACAAAAGCCCCCAGCAGCACGAATCCAACAGGACATCAGAAAGGGGACTGGCGGAAACCGAGGAACTGAATTCATACCTTCCTCTGACACTAACTGGATTTCACAAGCTCTGCATGTCTTGCGGCCGCCACAGTGGGACAGCACGGGTTTAGAACATCTACAAGATAAGCAGCGTAGGTATCAGCAGATCAAGTGTTTGAGTACGGCTGTCAGTAAGCTTCTATATTTTTTGACTGGAGATAATGAGCAATTGAACAATCCGGTTATCTCTGATGGAAATTCCCTTTGCTATTTGTTCGAAGTTAATTTTACCTACTTTTATCCCTTGCTTTATTTGAAGTCTAATCTCTGGAGGGCATCATCTACCAGGTAAATGCTATCTCTCTTGATTATCCCTGAATAGTCCTAAAAGTGCATTAATGCCTCGTGTCTGCTACCATACTTTCAACAAGTAACATTTTAACATGTCATAGTTAAAAGTTTGGAAAGTAACAGAAAGAATACAGAAAATAAGAACCGTCCCAAGTGTCTAGTGGGTTAGACACTTATCTTGCTTTTACTGACTTTAATTTACTTCATTCTTTGAAATATATACTAGTCTCACTCCCATGTTTTTAAATATAATTTATTGTCAAATTGGCTAACAGTGTGTAAAGTATGGTTTTGGGGGTAGATTCCTGTGGTTCATCGCTTACCCCATTTAAGTGTATTTATTTATTTTGAGAGAGAGAGAGAGAGAGAAAGAGACAGAGTGAGCAGGGGAGGGGCAGAGAGGGAGACAGAGAATCTCCAGCAGGCTCTGTGCTGTCAGAGCAGACCCCGACACGGAGTTTGGACCCATGAATTGTCAGATCATGACCTGAGCCGAGATCGAGAGTCAGGCGCTTGACCCACTGAGCCACCCGGGCACCCCAGTCTTGCTCCCATTGTAAAGATGAGGAAACCAAGTCACAAAGAGATCACGTGACTTGCCTGAGATGAAACAGCTAGTGTCAGAGCTGGGACTTGCATCCAGGCAACTGGCCCCAAATAGTCAACGTGGATCTGAACAAAACTAGGATTATACCCCTCATGCTGTTAAAATTTTCCCACGCCTTTGATTACATTTGGAAATACACTTGGCGGCTGCCCATATTTTATTTAATTACATGATAATGCCCCCATTTACTAGACACGTGGATTGTTTCCACCTTTCCCCTCTTAGGAATATCAGGAAGACATCTTCACACGTGAATCTTTGTGCGTATCTTTCATTGTTTCTTTAGGTTTAATTTCTAGGGGTGAGATGGTTGGGTCAAAGGGTCTGAACACATTTCTGATCTTTGATCCACTTTCTTTTTTTTTTTTTTTAATTTTTTTTTTCAACGTATATTTATTTTTTGGGGGACAGAGAGAGACAGAGCATGAACGGGGGCGGGGCAGAGAGAGAGGGAGACACAGAATCAGAAACAGGCTCCAGGCTCTGAGCCATCAGCCCAAAGCCTGACGCGGGGCTCGAACTCACAGACCGCGAGATCGTGACCTGGTTGAAGTCGGACGCTTAACCGACTGCGCCACCCAGGCGCCCCTCTTTGATCCACTTTCTAAATCATCTTCCATAACTGCTGTACCATTTTAACCTTGTTCCGGCCGTTGATTGCATTTACTTCTTTCCCTAAGAAGGATCGTGCCACTGATGTAATACTGTCCTATCTTCTCTGAAGCTAGGAATGTTTTCTGGCTTGCTTGCTGTTTCTTTTTCTCAATAAAAAGACTTTGCTTTCCCGAGCGGTTTTAGGGTCACTGAAAAATTAAGTACAAACTACAGACAGTTCCCCCATCCCCTTTCAGTGCTCCCCCGACTTCCCCTACTAGCATCCTGTATTTTTTTTTAAATTTTTTTAACGTTTATTTATTTATTTATT